AGCTATTCCAAGATAGACGAGGAAGCTGCCTTGTGACCTTCCTCTGTCCTCTGGTCATTTCGCTGTTCCTGTGTATCCAATTAAGAGGGTGGACAGAGGGAATGAAACGATATGACCTCAGTAGGAGAAGATTCTGTTTCTCATTAGAGGTCCTAGTAGAAAAACTGGTTATACAGCACTGCTTATCAGCCATGAGGTTTGAGAAATTTCATTTGCTCACAATTGCTACACCATCAGCCATGAACATTAACAGCCAAAATAAACTATTTTAACCCCTGACATTAGAAATATGTTTTAGCTGACCCTTGAACAATGTGGGGAGTTAGCCCTCCCCCCACCGCGAGGTCAAAAATCCAGTTGGTTACCCCAAAACTTAACTACCACCAGTCCACTGTTGACCAGAAGCCTTACTGAGATCAGAAACAGACAGCTGACACATACTTTGTACGTCATGTGTATCATATACTGTATTCTTATAACAAAGTAGGCGAAAGAAAAGAAATGTCATTAAGAAAATCATAAGGAAGAGAAGATACATTTACAGCACTGGTCTGTATTTGCTGAAAACAAAATCCACGTATAAGTGGACCCATGCAGTTCCAAAGTTCAACTGTGGTGTTCAAGGTTCAACTGTGTACTATTACGAAAAACTGTTAATAGGATGTAATTATGTGCTGTTTTCCACCTTGGCACCCTCTTTTCCATCTCGGCTGCTTCCCCTCGGCTCAGACTCCCATGTCTCATGCACTTTCTCCAGCAGCTGTTCCCATAGCAACATGGTCAAGCTGGCTATGTTTTCACAAGGGTTTCTGGAATATGAAAATCATGAGGCCTTAAAGAAGAATGAGCTAATGGTAGAATCTCGGTGACTGTGTAAGAGCTGAGAGAGAAGACCAGAATCTTCCCTCATGTCAGCCGTGTAAACTGTTTTCCTTGGAGACCAATTTTGGAAAATCCTTTGATGGTTATTCCTATCAACTCTATTTATGAGGAAGAAAGTTTTTGAGGTAAAGCATTGTTAGTGTCCAATGAAAGAGTTCGTGTCCTTCATTCAAAGAAAAATCACCGGATTTCCCCTAAGTAGAGAGAACCATCTTGGTGGGTTTAACGATAACTAAAGATACATAGTGTCATCACAATACAAAGCACTAGGGAAGTTTAGAGATGGGAGAATACTTTTGGCTGAAGCAGTTCGTTTCCGACATTAATCTGTTCGGTCCTCAGCGATGTTCCTTGCCATCTACTTTCACGTGATCAATTCTTTATTTCTCAGCACTCCCCACCTACCAATCACATGGGGCCAGGAGCACTGAAGTGGAGGGTTTATTGCAGCAGAATTTAGAGAACAAATGTGCAATCTCGGCTTTCAAATGCAGCAAGTATGGACTCTGAGTAATAGTCAAAGTTTGCTCACAGAATCTATAATTGCAACTGTTCTCGATGACATTCTTTGCTAGGCTGTGTAGCTTCCTTAGTGTGATCCATATGCCAGGCAAATTGCAAGGCCACCTGTGTTGCTGCCTCATAACACACACCACTGACATTTTTCACATTCTCATCGATTGCTAAGCCTTTCACTTTATATTCTGAGTCTTCTCCCCCCCCACCCCCCCCCATTCAGATCTAAGTAGAAACTTGCTTGGCAAAAAGGCAGATTATCATCAGTGACATTTGCATTTCCCCCAAAGGAGGGTATGGAGCATTTTCACTGGCAATAAAAATGAAGTTTCCCCCCACTCCCTTTGAAAACTCTTCCTTCATGATTTGCTAGCTTTGGGATACTTCTGGAAGTTGAAAGGGGGGGCGGAGAAGCAGGTGAAAAGTGCTGTCACGAGATCAAGGAAGGTGAATTTTCGAACAAAGCCTGCGTGCTTTGTCACCCTTTCTCTTGTGCTCCCAGAGTGGATGGGATCTCAAGCAATGGGATGGCTCTCTCGCCCAATAATGTCCGCATATTGACAATGTCAGATTTTTCTGTTTTAACACACATTAGTGATCCGTTCTATGCTAAATTATCTGTAACCCTAAGCGAGCCCAGCCAGTGATTTGGGATTACGCAATAGGAAGTTGTGACAAATTACTTCTGAAAACCCCATTCCTCTCTGTTTCGTGGGGCTTCTTCCCATGTAGGAGAAGACAGATTTTTGGTAATGAAAACATAAAAGGAACTTGACCATTCCTGCAAAATGAGAATGAGCTAACGTGGTGCAAGGTGGCTTTCAGTAGTCTTTACTCTGCTTCTGTGAATATGCTGGTGGCCCTTCTGCTGGAACCAGCCCGTCTGCACAAAAGGGTCCTATCGCCTTCTCTCCCTCCCAAAGCTTGGATGCTGAACTGACTGAGAAGCCTCATCTCCTGGTGTTACTCTGACTGAAGCGACAAGATCCTATAGAAATCTTACTAAATGAGGGCAGATTTATTTAAACGAGGGGTCAGCAAACCATGTTCTATAGGGCAAATGCTGGTTGTTGCTTGTTCTTATAAAGAAAGTTTGTTGCACAAATAGGCATAGCTGTGTTCCATGTATTTTCTCTGGCTCTTTCTCACTGAAGAAGCAGGGCTGAATGGCACCGAGCAATTACAACAGATCCTCTATGGCCTAAAACTCTTTGCTATCTGGTTCTTTAACAGAAAGAAGTTTGCTGATTCTCAATTTACACCATTCTCACTTGGTAGTTAGATGACTTTTGGAGGGCTAAGCTAGAGAATGAAGAGGGAGGCAGGACATGCCATTCACTGAAGTTGAATATGTTCACCAAAGAAGATTTAAAAATAGATTACATGTATTCATGCCATCCTAATTTGCTATTAGTGAAAATTGCAAAGAGTGACACTGATTGAAAAATCAACATTTTCAGGGGGCACCTGGGTGGCTTAGTTGGTTAAGACTGTCTTTGGCTCAAGTCATGATCCCAGGGTCCTGGAATCGAGCTCCGAGTTGGGATCTCTGGTCATCGGAGAGCCTGCTTCTCCCTCTCCCACTCCCCCTGCTTGTGTTCCCTCTCTCGTTGTGTCTCTCTCTGTCAAATAAATAAATAAGTAAAATCTTTAAAAAAAATGAAAATCAACATTTTCTGGGCACTGTGTTAGAAACTTTCCATAAAGTAGGCCATTTGTTTTTCTTATGTCAAGGAAATTTAGGTTTTCCTGGAGAAGGGGTCTTAGGGACAGTCCAAAGCAAATAGGCACCCAAGTGTTCACATCGGAGGACCCTGGACACTTGGAGGGGTGGTCTGCTCCCGTGCGGCCATTTCCTGTTCATGACAGCCCAGACACAAAAGGCTGTTGACTCTCGTCTCCCAGTCTGAAATGCATTTTCCCTACTGTGCAAGGGTCCCAACTGCTGACTTTGGGGCACTCATTGTCGTTCTCATAAGTAGACTGTAAGCAGAGAATGAAATGGAATGAGGCAGGAGGAACGTGATAGCTTCTGTGGATCCACAGATATTTTGGGGCAATTATTTTCATGTGAATGGTGAATTAAAAATCATAAACTCTTATGGTCAGAATGGATTAGGGAGTTAATGCAGTTCGAATTCTATGAATTGCAATTGTAGAAAAAGAGGGCTGGTGAGTGGGTCTTCAGGTAGATTGGTACGGGTTGGAGAACCAGGGATGCCTTACAGGGGGGCCCAATCCGCCCCCCACCCTTTTTTCTTTGTCAACCAAATTCTGTTCTCTGGGTTGGTTTTTCATTCTTGTCCCTGTGTTGATCAGAAAGTGAGCCTGACATTGTCATGGTGCTCAGGGTTATAAATGAGACATCTCTTCCCTTTGTCAAACTTGCTGGGAAATATTCAACCTAATTTATTTTTCCTGTACATATACATTTTTGTATTCTTTCATTTCCAATATACGACTCTCAAGAATGTATCTGTTCTTTCTGGGTTTGCCTGTCTCTGCAAATTCCCTTTTCTTTGGCAGCCAATGCCTTCTTCCTTGATTTGCCTCTCTGAGCCTGACTGCTTTCTAGTTGGGTCCTTCATTCTTGGACTCTGGATCCCTTTTGAAACAGGGAGCGGCACTCTATCACTTCCTGGCAGACACCTACCTCCCTTTCAGAGAAGAAAGAGTCAGGTAGGATGTCTGTGGAAATAAAGAACACAAAATGGAAATGACAGAGCAAGCCAAACAGTAAGAAAATAAGGCTTTGCCTCAAAAGAAAGGAAGAAAAAAAAAAAAGAGTACCCGAGGAAAAGGCAAGTAAAATGGTTCTGGCAAAACTTGTTCTCCTTTCTATTCATTCTGGGGCATGGGGGGAGATGGGGGAGGGGAGGTATTGCTTGCCGATGCCCTCTCCCTGCTGGTTATCCTCCAAGCCCAGCCGAAGCTGCCTGCCCATCAGTGCTGCCCGGGATGCCATCACTCTAGCTTCTCATCGAAAGTAATCAATACCATTATGAATCTCTCTGTTCTACTCTCAACTTAACTACAAAGCTAGCATTAGTCATGGGAGCCTGGTGAAGTAGCAGACTCGTTCACGTGTCTAGGTTACCTGCTTGTTTCGTGTCCCCTGCCTTCATATCTGGGAATTCTCATCCTCAAACTTTTAGTACTGAAGCACCCACTTTTGCATGCTGAGCATGTCCCCATGAAGGGTGAAATAACACTTCAGGTGGCCAGATGGTAGGAGCGGGGAGACACTTACTTCTTTGTTTCTGTTATCACTGGCTCAAGACCATGCTGGGATCTCCCACAAGGACCAAGATGACCTAGTCTCTACCCCCATTTGGGTGGCCCAAGTTAGCCAACCTAAAGATGGGACCAGGACCAAAGTAAGACTTTTCTATAATGTCCCCGAAGGCAGAGTGGGTGGAAGGAAATGTCACACATAGTGTCCTGTTCTTGATCATGCCCACATACGTAGCCAGGCCTCACATGAAATATGGCTGGAGGGATTGATAAAGATATCAGCGCCTGGAAATCACATGCATGCACCCAACCCCCTTCGTTTTTTCAAAACTCTCAGGAGTAACCTCTTTCCAGCTGCCCCCAGTTACCTGTTGATGCTGTTTTTCTGTGCTAACATCTGCCAGTCCTTGCCTTTGGCATTGGGGGTATCGAAGGTGGCACAAATCCGCTGTCTGATGGAGTAAGGGATTTTGAAGGCTTTGGGGCCAGTCTGTGCAGGGAAAGTGCTGTCCTCTTGTGCAAAGAACGTGATGGTTTCTCTTTCACTCTACAAACAAAGAAAGCATGGTCAGATCTCAACGGAAGCATTACCAATCAACACTTTTATTTTTTTTTTTTAAGAAAATCTATTAACGCACATGCACAACATGCTTGCCTGTTGTGACAGACTCTGTAAAATACATTGACACGTTCCCCTATCTTCTAACATAGTAAATAACTTCTCTGGCAGCCTCGTGAATCGTGTACTGGAGATTTACGACAGTGTCTTCCACTCGAGGGTGTGTGTGTGGGGGGGTCACAATCATCAGCTTCCTACATCCAGGGAGATGTCAGGTGACAGCAGAATTAAACCTTTCTTTCTTTTTTTGGGGGGGCGGTTCTCAGGGATAGATCTAGAATCAGTAGGAAGAAGCCCCCAAATGACAGATCTCAGTTCAGTGTAAGGAATGAACATGTGTTAGAGCTGACCAAAGACGAATGGGCTAATACAAGTTGCTGGCTGGGTAGGCACCTGTCAGGAAAGCTACAGAGGGGACCTGATTATATATTGATCATCTTTAAGTTTGTGTTGCCCCGCCCTGATTGTGAAGTGAGTGATTCCGTAGTAAATATTTTGGTCTTGTTTCAGAATGACATTGCTTTGGTCATATACGCGCCCGCCAGGAGTCCATGAGGAGGTCTAGAGCCTGGGGTGTGGTGGAAGGCTTCTGCCTGCTGCCCACCCTGCTTCTGATTTAGAGCTGTCCAGTGAGGACTGGTGATTTCAGTGCATCCCAGCAATCAGATCATCATCTCCAATGTGAAACCATACAGACATCGGTTAGATTAAAGTGGCTGCTGATAAGTTTATATGAACCAACAGAATTTTAAAGCCAAAAAGTACCTGATTGAATTACTCCTGTGACTATGATAGGTTACAAGACACAAGGGTTTCTTCATTAAGGTCTCTAATCAGTTGACTATGAATTGATTGAAATTTTCCAGAGTGGGCCTGACCTAATCAGGTGACCTTTAGAAGAAAGAAGAGGCAGCTCTTATCTGGAGGCATCACTCCTGCTGGCCTGGTAGAAAGCAAACAGCAGGGCTGTGAACTGTCTATAGAGTTGGACAGGGAGCTAGGACCTGAGGGCATCCCCTAGGAGCTGAGCATGACCCCTGTCCAAGAGCCAGCAAGAAAATAGGGAGCTGCAAGGAATTAGATTTGGTCAACAACCCAAATAAGCTTGGAAAAAGGACTCTAAGTTCTAGGTGAAAATGTGTGCCCAGCCACCATCTTGATCTCAGCCTTGTGAGATCCTGATCAGAAAACCCAATTATGCCACGCCTGGACTTCGACCTACAAAAAATGTGAGACAGTAAATGGGTATTGTTTTGTCCTATTAAGTTTATGGTAATGGGTTATACAGCAAAAAAGAAAATATAATGATAATAATATAAAGAGAACTTAAAACATCAAATCTGAGATGGGGTTGAGGGAATAGTTAGGACTTTTTAACCCCAAGAACTATCCTTCATGTTAGGAATGTGTCCTCTTGTGTTCTTGTGTTTTCCTTTAAGCCAACATGTGCAGTTTATGAACTCTTCTGGGATCCTGCCTTGAAGCTTTTTCCAACCTTAACACCTCTTCCTACTGCGGACACCACAGCTGTGAGAGCCCTTCTTGGCAAGTGGCCAGGCTCACATGGCTATAAACCTCAGTGAGTCTTCTGTCTTCAAGAATCTGTTAATTGAGGAAGCTGGTTCATGCAGGGATCTTATTAATGATAATATGTTTTGTTGTTCCATAACCATTTGACACAGTTACATTTTGAGGGCTGTATCTTGGAAACACAGTGCCTTAACACATTATTTCCAAAAGGGTTTCTCAGAAGATGTTCCAAGAAAGAGCCGATCTCTGGTCAAATACATTTGAGAAACGTTGCGTATTATAACTTCTGCTTGGAAATTCAAAGTACATATTATCATATTAAATAGATTCTACTTACTGGTTTTAGTTCTATTCCCTGGAATATTATAGAACAACACTCATCAAAATTCTTCCAGTATGTCGTGTTAGCATGGGGCAATAGAAAAGCACGTTTTTGGAGGCAGAGGGACCTTGCTTTGGGGTATGATTTTATCCTTCCTAGCTCAGTGACCTTGGATGCTCCAGGACATCTGTCCAATTTCCTAATCAGTCTTTTGGCATGTTTTTTTTTTTTTTATATAGACACCACAAAGGTTATGAAATGTGGTGAAAATAACCAGGTAGTTTGTAACATGGCTGAAACTAGAAGTCTGATTTCCTAATACCTATACCAAGATTCATTTCTCTATGCCACCCTGCTTCAAGACAAGCAGGTGGTTAAGAAAAATGCTGAGCGGGCACCTGGGTGGCTCAGATGGTTAAGCATCTGCCTTCCGCTCAGGTCATGATCCCAGGGTCCTGGGATCGAGTCCCGCATCGGGCTCCCTGCTCAGCGGGGAGCCTGCTTCTCCCTCTCCCTCTCCCTCTCTCTGTCTCTTATGAATAAATAAATAAAATCTAAAAAAAAAAAGGAAAATGCTGAGCGTTATTAGATTTATGCTTCAGGAATTAAGAGCAGGAAGGGCTTCCTGGAGGAGGCATTTCGGTTGGCCTTGAAGGATGAGTAGCTATTGATTGAATAGAAATTGAGTGGGTAACTAGTGATTTTTGGCAAAATGAACAATTCTTATTCTGATATGTTGGCTGGTTATAAAATGAACCAACTCAGGCTTCTTGCTGTATGAAATAGGTTATGAGCAACATTTTCAATCATGGTTTCTGAAGTTTCTCCTAGCCTTTAAAAAATGTAAATTGAAAACGATTTCCTTCAATTTCCTGACTTAAGGCAGGAGGATGTGCTTTAAAAAGATGGTAGAAACTGTAGAGAGGAAAAAAAGGAATTCTATGGAATTCTAAGGAAGATAACATGGGCGCTGTCATTTAAATCAGTACCAAAGGGTGTTCACATGTGAAAAGGTGGCTTGCCAGTGAAACTGAAAACACTGAAAGTATCCATGACAAAGGACTGCATAGACAGGTCTGGCTTGTGCAATCTCTTATGGCATCTTTGAGTGGACCAAGCTCACCATGCTCTGTCTTTACTGTTGGCAGAAGAGAGACCACCCCGATCCACAGTCTTCAGGACAGAAGTGGTAGGATTTCAAAGTGAATAAAATATTGTAGGAGACCGACTCTTAAGTATTTTTTCTATTTTCGACAGTTTAGTAAGTGGGCCCCCATTTCCCTCATAAAGTTTCCCACTTTAAATATTTGCCATGCATAAGGATGACACTTTAACATTTATGGTGCATTCTAAAAGACAGCTGGGCCAAGTAATAAGAATCCTGTAGATACATCACATTTTCTGATTGTTTAAATTAAATATGCAGAGGAACAGCAGATTTTCATTCTCTGCACATCTGAGATAAGAGGCTGCTACTTGGCTAGCTCGGGAGCTGTAAATCAATGAGGAATTCCAAGTATTCTGTCCATTTCACAACAGACAAATCATCCCCTAACCTTCCACCACTTCTGGAAGAAAGATAAGAGAATTGATTGAAGGGAAACTTGTAACATGCAAGTTTCCCATTTAAGTTCTTTCTACGAAAAAAAGAAAAAAAAAGAATTCTCCAATAATATTACATTAACAAGGGATGATACAATAAATTACTTAGGGATTCTTCCCTTCTCTTCAATATTAGTAAAATTATTTTGCTTCACTCCACAATTTTTAGAGCGGTGATACCATTGCTTTTACAGAGTATCGATTGGTGATAATTGTTAGGTAATTCAGTGAGGTTACATTTAAAGAGAACCACCTGCTTCTACAGATGGACACAATAATGGTCACTCAAAAGACAGAAAAAAAAATACATTATTTTGATCACTGAAATAATTTTTAAGTATGAGAATGACACGAATGATTGTATTTATTTGGAAAGCCATTTAGATGAGAGGCACGAAGGAATGTGATGGATGGGAGGCTGAACATAAAGAACCAAAGTCCTTTCAATGAGGATAATCAGTGTATTGATTCAGATATTTAAAATATATATACAATGACATACATATGTATCTCTTTTACCTTGACTGGTTCCATTGTTAAATTCGTGAAACACACACTAAGAGGATCCATTAAAGTAAGGTAGGAAGTTGGAGGTCTGAGCTTAATGATACAGGGATTTTTTTTTTTTTTTTTGAGTGGGGAGAGGGACAGATACTTAAAAAATCCAGACATCTATTGAAAGCTTCAAAAGATTTATTTCCTTATTATTTTTATTATCTTTAATCAATGAAATCCTATTACTAATTAAAACTACCTAATGCAGGGTCTTACAGCCTAGAGGCCATAAAGTATGATGCACTTACTGATCTATTATTCCCAACTCACTGACTAATTCAAGTTCATGTCTAGAATGTATCTTGTCACTTCCCCAGGTAATCCCAGTTTCTCAGCACTTTACGTATCTTCACTTTTTCTGGAACTATCACAAAAATCCAAGTCATTTTTCGGGGAAGAGGATACTTTGTATTCACTAGATCTATCAGTAGATGTATGTTTCTGCCAGGAATGAGACAGTCCTGGAGTTGGAAAGAATGTGAGTGACCTTAAGACCTCCCTTTCCAGGCAGACTGACAAGTGGGAAATCTATTCTATTCTTGAAGACCTATAGAATGAACACTTATTCCAGGCCGTCCCATCCTTCTGCAGTCTTGAGGAAAGAACTTCCCAATTTTCACCTACTTTCATACTCAAAGACCAAATTTTTGATGCTGCAATGTTTGTCACTAGTGCTGAAGCCCCCCAGAAAGAAGACTTACATTATGTACAAGGCCCACAGTCTGTATTGCTAAATTAGACTTCCCTGACTGGGATCTGGAAGTGGTCTAGTATGGAAATCCAGACTTCGACCTTGACGTCAGGTACCTCAGTTGGGAACTCTGGCTCCCCATTATTGGTTTTATCATCTTGGACAAGAAGGTTGACCTCTTTGAGAATGTTACATCATGTCAAATTGTGACAGTACAGTATTTAATCTGCAGAGCTGGATGGTTACCTGTGAAAGCGCATGAAATGGTACCAAAATATAGTGGCTTTCAAAAGTTCTTAATTTTCTGCTGACAAAATAAGAGATTTGCCTAAGAAATACAGTTATTAACAAAGAGATGGTGAAGCACTGGGCCAAATGCCAGCAGTAACACTTGAAGAATTAATAAAATCCTTCCAGGATCGAAAGGGTTAATTGAGCTTCTAAAATGCAGTCCTCTGCAAACTGGATAGTGGTAACCCAACAGTGAATAAATATTATTTGGATGCTGGCCTCTTACTATCAAGAGATACAGTGGTATCGTCTTTTTCAAGGCATTTCAAAGTGATTGTAAGCTTGCGAAGCATTAGACAAGGAAATGGAGAGTAAAGGGTAAGATTTTCCTCCTGTGCACTTCCAAAATTTGTTTAAGCAAGGAGCACAGGTACCAGGCTGTATCAACTCTAGCACAGTCCTTTAACATGGATTTCCTGTAATAGCAGAAGTTGGTCCTCTCTATCGGAGTGCCTGAAAAAATAAAAACTCTTTTAAGCCTGGAATTGTTGCATTGATCGGGATCAGACATTTTAGGTCAGTTTGCATCGGAGGTCATCTTTCTGTCCCGCCTTTTCATGCTTGCTTCTCAACACCAGAAGGAAAATCTGCTTGGATTTTCCTTTTGTGTTTATTTTAAAACTTTCTTGCAACTTTTTATTTTACTTTGAAATGTATTGAGTTAAATATGCCATGACTGTTCAAGAAGGAAGACTCTCAAAATATCCTACCCTATGTTTCTGGATCTACCTTTCCCATCACAACTACTTTGGCGCACAATGTTAATTGGCGATAATGAATGCAAATCCTGTACAAACATGTCAGTAAAGACAGCTATCAATTTTGAGGCACAATCCTTTGGAAAGCCATCCGCTCTTCAGAAAAACTATTCAGGGAATTAGCAATGCTCATTTTGCATAAACAATGAATTGAAATGAGAATGGAGTGAAGTGATAATGCTATAAAGCTACAGGTTTTCAAAGAAAAAAACCCCCGAAATTGAGTAGTTATGTATATAACATTTGTTAAACCTTCTGCCAAGCCTGAATGAATAAATACATATTATTTATGTATTTGTACATAAATATGTATGTGTGCCTGTACACATGCATGCATATATATATATATATATATATATATATATATTCTGATGAGCAATAAAATGTGTTTTTCTACACTAGCCAGGGATTACCTTAGAATTGCTCAGCAAAAGCATCACATGTGCTTCCCCTCATTCTACCACTCAGCTACTCCAGCCCTCTACCCTCAAATAACCATTCAGGAAGGAACGCCATCATCTCTCTAAGCCAAGTCCACAACCATGAAGCCATTCAGTGGTTTAGGGCAAATCAGAGCCATGGCAGAAATCAAGTGTCTTTTTGCAAAAGTGAATTCTCCTCCGACTCCCATTCTAACTCTGCCCTTCAAAAGTGATATGACCTTGGACAGTGTCCTTTCCTTCTCTGCACTTGCATTTCCTTACTTTGTAGAATGAGACATATCTACTCTGTTGTACATGATTGCATCAATGAATCTAGATTCAGTGGAGATGGGGCTATGCAGAACCCCGAAACTGGGGGCTAGGAGACATTGTAAGACAACAGGGAACCCAGGTCCTGAAGACGACTTCTGGAAAATTGGTCAGAACCAGTAGAAAAACAGCTCCATGGTGACCTTGTGCCTCTTCATGGTATGTGTTTCAAATGTACCATCAGCCACCAATGAATCTCAGGAGATATTCCAAACCTACAATGGACTATTAGATTGTTTGTTGGTTTTGTGTATAAAAAGCCCTTACCAGTTCTTTCCCCAAAGGGCTCTCCATGGAGCCTAAGCTCTGATGGGTTGAGTTTCTCTGCCCAATAGGAAGCTCAGTTCAACCCTCAGCCTGAGAAAAAGTTTATTTGCCCTTATTGGTAACAAGGATGAAGCTCTTTTAGACCCTGTGTAGCACTACTGAAATAGGTACATTAATCTTAGTGTCCTGTCGAAATGGAGTCAAGTGGTCCTGCAGACCAAGGACTCACCTCCAGGATGGATGTCTGCACTTGGAGGATCTGTTCATGGCCTTTGAGCTGCCGGATGCAGATTTTGCAGGACAGCTGGGTGGTGGTGGGCGTGTAGCGCTCCAGGGAGAAGGCACAGTGCAGGGGCTGCCTGTTACTGCACCACACGCGGGAGAATGGGACCTCCTGCAGGGAAACGGGGGAGAGAAGAGGGGTATGGTGTGCAGAGCCCGGCTGAGACGAGTGGACACTAGGAGAGACTTAATAGCAATAATTATGATGATGATGACAATGATTGCAGCAGAGATAATTGCCTCAGCGACTTTGGTGGAATTGTTGTAGAAATAATGTTCCAGCATATGCCAAGCAGCACAGAAAGTAATTAATGTCAATTCCAATTGATAACATTTGAATTCCAAAACCACAGCGCAAGAACTCAGATTTCACTTGGTGACACACACAATTAGGATACTATCAAAAATTAATCCTCATGGTTTTCCCACGAGAAAAAAATATTCTTGAGAAGACTCTTCTGGTCCATCCTTCTCCCTAAGCCTGGGGTAGGATGATATCTTTTCACTTAAATAAAAATTATGCTAAAGAACTGACTGACAAGAACATATCCCAACACCACACAAGCTCCTACAGAAGTGTGTAAACTGAACACAATATTGCTAATGTATCCAGCATAAAAATTATACCTACTGCCGAACGCACATGCACAGACACACACATCCCAGAGAGATACACAAACACACTAAGCTGCCCAGAACAGTCCTGTTTGTCAACTCCTCATTCACTCAATTCATCCGTTCAGCACTGCTAATGACCAGACGCTGTACAAGATAAACAATAAGAAATAATAAGAAACTAGGTTCAGTCTCTACCATCACAAGACTCACAACTGAGGGGCAAAAGCAATTTTTACTAAATGAGGGGGGAAATAATAAAATCTACATACAGCCTTTTCCCCTGTTACTAGTCCGTGTCTGCCACTGATTAGACTGTGCTCAGACATGTGGCCTTACAGTAATGCGAACTAGAGGTCACTCATTGATATTCTTTCATTTACAAAAAAAGTCTCTCCTTCCTGCTCAAATCAAGCTGAGATTCTTGGCAATGACCATGTATAACCAGCCTCTAGTAACGTTCATCCTCACCTTTTTCTCTTCTTCTCTTCTCGTTAATGTACTGTTTTTTTTTTACCTGTTGCTATAAATATCATTTTCTCCAATATTAACAGTGGCAGGCGGCAGAAGATGTATCAGGTTTGGAGGTTTGATACTCTGAAGTGTGACTGATGATGAAGCCATCATGTGTTAGGAGACTGGGGCCATGATTAAAATTCAGACTACTCACTCGGAGGAACTAGGAGTTACCTAGTTCTTCCTGAGCTCTAATGGGCACATTGCTTGTTTCTGAGCTTAGTTTTCTCTACTGGAAGTCTCACAGGTCTGGATTTTGGATGCTTGCTGGGGGGATCAGCAAGGAGGGATGGACTCTGATTGTTGTCCACTTGAAGAGAGGAGCCCTAGCTGAGCAAGTCTGAGAGAAGAAACTCATGCCCCAGCTCCTACCATACATCCCAGTAAGGAGTATAAGGGTTTTGTGGTTTTGTTTCATTTGTTCTTAATCCTAAACCAAGTGAAAGGCAGTGGAATTTTCATCTCAAGAAGCAGAGGGAAGGAGTGAGATTGGTTGGTGAGGTCCCCCAGAAATCTTTGGAGGAGTTCATTTTCATGACAACACTCAAAAATGACTTTTTCACCTGCACCAAATTCTACACCAGGTAAATAATAATATGTATTTACAAGTCCTGCCATTTCTTCTTCTTGTCCAACCTCTTATTGTGCTTCTCCCCCCTAAGGCTTCTTCCATTTTGTAAGCTGGGGGTAATACTTACTTTATTATCTCAGCCTCCAACACCTCTCTCTCTGCTTGATGAACTCTTCAAGATCCCGTCTGCTCACTGCCACCTCTCTGTGCAGAACTCCCAAAAGCTACGTCTCTGGCATTTATCTCATGATCAATCACTGACATTATACCCCTAATCACAACAAGTCATTTTATTTGGCCTTTACTTTCTCTGACAACTCTACCTTTTCAAAACTAATTATCACCATTCACTGATGCGACCAGATCGCCTGGGAACTCTGCTCTTGTTACAAGAATCCTTTGCGATGGGGCCCAGTATAGCCCCCTGATGCCTGCCACATTAAACAGAGTCTCCTGCCTGGTGCTTCCATCATTTGTTGTCCCATCTTCATTTTAATAGCCCGCAAATGAACTCTCCTTCAAACTAGTACATTTTTTATAGTTCCTTTGCACCACCCCCTTTCATGAAAGAAACTGTAACACAGGGCTCCATGGTTAACAGGTACTTTTGCCTAATTGAGAAAACTAAGGGGGCGCCTGGATGGCTCAGTTGGTTAAGTGTCCAGTGCTTGATTTCTGTTCAGGTCCTGATCTCAGGGTTGTGAGATCAAGCCCTGTGTCGGGCTCCATGCTGAGTGCGAAGCCTGCTTTAAGATTCTCTCTCCCTCTGCCCCTTCCCCCACTCTTAAAAAAAAAGAAAAAAAAAACTAAACTAAACAGGTCTTTGTGTTTTTAAATGGAAATTTGAGTCATTACAGCATAACATAAGTTCTTGGGCTTCAGGGTCAGACAGAGCTGAATTCAAGGTCTTGCTCTTAAACTGACCTCCATGTTGTGCGGTGGATCTGAATCCTTGATAATGCTTCCTTTCCTAAAAAAAAAAAAAAAATGGTACTGGCCATTTATTGAAAAGTGTCTTCTCTGGTGTAATTTGCTACATTTCTTCTATTTTCTCCAGAGAATGGTGGCAGAAAGGTAAGAGAGTAATGCCCACTGCAGGGATAATCCTCCCGTGCAGAAAGCCACGAGAATGAGCGTGTGCGCAAGCACACACTCTCTTCTCTCTTTGCAACCCGCTGCACACAATCAAGACATTATAAAATTCTGATTTTAAGACCGTATCAAAAGAATATTTCTTTTTATTGTTGGCTTGAGTAACAGCTGCCAATAGGGCTTGACAAAACATTTAAAAGTAATAGAATTAGAAGCACTGTGATTAGTGTGTTGTCAGGGCAATCATCTTTGTTTTCATTATTAAAAAAACTATCAAGATGCTCACTGAGTGAGAGGAATGATGTGGAAAGTAATATGGGAGGACAAAGCGTAGCAAAGTTATGGGTGTTTAAAGAATTCCGGAAATGTTTTCATTTTGATTTCCATTATAATTAGGCTCCTAGCAGATGGAGAGAATGTAAATCACATTCTAGCAGGAGACAGACACTGGGTTCCCTAAGACACAAAGTGTGCTGAAAAGACAGCTGCTTTTATCCTAGGGAGGTGACAGCACGACTTTGTGTTCTGTAGGATTTAAAAAATAATAGTTTATTGTATACTGTCTATTCCAGCTTCTCCACCCCACAGTCAGCAAAAAATAGCAGAACGTGTGACTCAGTAGCACCCAGGTCCCAGTAACCTACGGAAAGCGGAGTTATTTACCTCCTAGACGAGGTCTGCTAAATCTGTGGAGGGGAATCTCTAACTGTGGTCAAGTCCTAAAAAGCCTGAGAAGAAGAGAAGGAATACTTGTTTTTCTCGGGGGGGTGGGGGCAGGGTGGGGACTAGCACTGTGGGTGGTAGCATAGCATTTCATCAACTGTAATCCTCCGGAACCTACCCAACAGTTGGATTTCAAAGCTAGCTGGTCTGCCTATACACAGGGTGTCTGCACATAGCTCTGGATCCAATCTTGAATCCACACCATTCTAAAAGCATTCCTCATGCAGTTGGTTGGTGTCTGATAGGGCAGATAGTCTCTGCAGTGGGTACCTCCCAAGCCTGAAAATTCCCGGTAAATTCCACCTTTCCCAGAAGAAGAAAGGAAGGTTTCCGAGAATAGGCTTTGGGTACCAAGTGGAATATGTCACTTCTCAGATTCCTGATGTGAAGTTAGAGAAAGGGGGAGAGAGGAAGACCAGAGGTCTTCCATGCACTGAGCTGGAAGATGACAGAAGACGACAGGGAGATTTACCAGTTGAAGGAGAGACCTATAAATGATCTCAGGAAGAGTGAGCTTTTCTGTCCCTGCCAATAGCTCTCAGTTAGTTCCCATCCGCAAAGCCCTAATGAAAAGCCATTCTCTATTATCCACGCCAAGTTTATCAGTGCACATCATGTTCTACATGAGGTTCAAGCAGCATGAACACAAACCCTCCCCGAAGTGCTTACATCTGATGCCTGGAGCAAATGCAGCAGGGTCATTAAGAGCAGGACAATATGTATTCATACAGGCTAGGGGATTTCAGTGATGACAGGGGCAAGACAATTGGCGGCAAGGAGGGTGGTCGGGGGTGGGGTGGGAAAGGAGGAATAGAGCAGAAAGCCATTTGTGGGTAAGAAAAATGAAGTGGAAATGCAACTCAGTGGCAAACCTCCTGGTGCAGAGAAAATTAAATTATTTCTCAGCCTTCCAAGACTCTTTCAAATTATGTTCAATTACAGAAGGCAAATATTTATCCATGTTCACAACGTCCATGGCAATCCAACCCATCCCCGCAGTAAAGCTTGTTGGGTTTTCGTGTGAGCCAATGCCCTTTGGCTTTGGCTGGGCCTGCTGCATGCTCCGAGGTCCCCAGGCTCCTAGCCCCCAATGCCTTTCCTGCCCCGGGCTCTCCTTGGAATTCTTGGTGTTGGAATTATTGTTTAAGGGCTGGTGCAAAGTTATGGTCCTTTCATCTGATTTTTTTTTTTTAATCTCTAAACATTAAACTTAATAGTTACTTTGGACAGAGGCACTTGCATTAGATCCAGCGGAATGATGCCTTTAAGCCTATAAAGATTAATACAGAGGAATTTACATGACTTTCAGGACCTGTTTTAACAATGCCCTGAAGTTCAATTTGGACCGGAAACTCTGAATACCGCTTTCCTGGACACAGAGACACCTAGGTCTTAGAACATCATAAACAATCCATTTATTCATAGAAAACCTCTCACTATAAGGAAATATGCTGAATGTGTCAAAAAAATGGTTTGGGGCCATAAGAGATGCTTTTGTTGCTCTGAATGCCCCGAAAGAGGATGCAGAGGGGCATTTCCCAAGGTAACGAGAAGTCTGAAAAGTAAACAGGAAAATACAACCTTGTCCCATCTGAAAATCATGAATTTTTGAAGGCAAAAGGACTGGTGGGTCAACCTTTTTTTTTTTTTCTTCTTCTTCTTCTTTTTTTCCTAACTCTCATGGCTCAGGCAAGGTTTTTCTCTCTGTGATTTGGCTTGTTCCCATTCTGACAAGCTGGTTTACCTTGTGCAAGTTTTTGGTCTTTGTTTTTAATAAATGCCGCAAGGATGGAAAGGTTAAAACCCCACAGGGCTCACAGGTTATGACAGAAACAAAGACATCTGAAAGCCTCCTGTGATTCTGGATCAATCTGAGCCCACCAGAAGCTTTTCCAAAGTTAAGGACCTGTCCTGTTACCTGAAGCACAGGTGACTTCAGTTTAGGAAACAATTGCAGATCAGCTAGCTGCTTATGATGACAGTACTCATCACAGGGAATTTCCACAGCATTCGGTGGCAGGGTCACACGTTGATAAGAGATCCTTCTATGCTAAGCAATTACTCAAATCCCCTAAAAGTCATCTGAGGAGGCTCTAAGTCATTTTGCAATGTTTTAAAATTCTCTGATACAGAGATAGGTGAATAATAATGCAGAAATATGTTTATATATTTGTCAAAGGATTCTAAGAGGCATGATCCTTTCTTTGGCTCTCAGTTTATAATTTTGTCTTCCCATCTTACCCAGCTTACTTGGAGGCAAGCACTTCATATATTCTGGACAAAACCTCTTGTGTCTACCTGGGCACCCAGAGCTCCCCACAACTCAGAACTGTCACCCTTTGAAGGACTGACATCCAGACCTTTCACAGCTGACCATGATTAAAACCATGTCTCATAATGAACTGGTTTTAATAAAAACCACCAACCAACCAACCTCGCTCTAACTTGTTAAATGACTATCTTCAACCTATGCTGAGCGAGAGTTTAAGGGAGAGGAGAAATTTCACATTACCTGACATCAGGCATCTTTTCCCCTCACCTGTTAGAAACCTGTGAGTTGATGACAATATGATTAATTCTCTGCGTGCAGTCCGAATTGCTACATTTCTGTGACAGTTCTGAGATTAAATCCATACTTTTAAAGGAGGAGGTAAGTCAAGAGTACCCTCACCAGGGTTCAGTGACCTGCTTGCTGGTTAAAGCAAAGCTATTTCTGTTAGCAGCCCATTTGGCCAGTACCTGGCATGCAGTGAATGGTTTGATTCTCCAGAGGAATGGGGGAATGTCAAGGATGGAGATCTGAAGACTGAAGGTGTTCCCTTTGAAATGCAGCAACTTTGGCTCTTCCAGTAGCTGTCCACCTTGATGCCTTTCATCTGAAACTACTTCCTACAGGGCAGGAAAGAGAAAAGAGGCATAACAATGAAGTATCCAGTTTCTGCCATATTTCTTTCCTTAGATAGGTATGCTCCCTACCATGTATCTCCCGGAAATAGACAAACAGCATGATACACACAGACACAGACACACACACACCCAGACACACACACCCAGACACAGACACACACAAAGACACACACAGACACACACAGACACACACACACACACACACACACACACACACACACTTCTTTGAGAACCCTATATCCTTGCAAGGTCAGGACTGGGACTCAAAACTGCTGATTAATAGGGATCTGGGCAGAAAGAAATAATTGTTCTTCATTATTTGTGTTGCTTAGGCTTTTAAACACACCATGCCTTTCTTTAAAACTAAAAGACCTCCCCTGCCCCAAGCAAACTGTTATACGGTTGAGTTTCCACAACTGTGTGAATTTCATCTGCTATAACCATAATCAAGAGATGTATTCAGATTTTACACTGAAAGTTGAACAAGGACTTCACCCTTTCACCACCTCTACCCTTTCACATGTTCATCATGAATATGGGTATTATACAATACTTATTCTTTGGTTCAAAATAAATGTTACAGAGTGCACGTATGCTATTTATTTGTAGTAATGTTCATTAAAGTTATGCCAAAAAGCCAAGACAAAAGTTGTTTATCAAGTTAGTTTTAGCTCAGAAAAAAGAAATCAGATTCCTGAAGATAAATACTCCTGTATTTTTTACTGAGAAATCTTTATAATTATATTTAATACAAACACAGTTCACACAATTCACCTACATTCTACTGAGCAAACCATTTTATTTTTTTTATTATGTTATGTTAATCACCATACATTACATCAATAGTTTTTGATGTAGTGTTCCATGATGAGCAAACCATTTTAATTGGTTCCAAATTTGTGGTGTCTAGAATCTTACTGGAGAGATGATAAGCCAAATAAAATAACAGGCATGATTTCTGCAAAAGGTTAACCTGCCCTCGGGGTGAGGCCTTTAGTGTTCCTGGAGATAAGAGAGCCCCCTAAATCCATTTCTTAAAGTCACCATTAATTGACTTCTAATTCCCTTGCAGAAGTACAATAAATAAGAAAACTGAGATCCTTTAATTATGTCCTGTAATCTTTCCAGATTCTAAAAGATTGTGAGAGTCAGGCAAGTAAGCTTATAAATACAATAAAACTTACATTTCAATTATCAGCGAGTAAAAGCAGCTCCAGAGGTTATCTTACTGACTCTTGTCTGGTGCAGAATAACAGGAATAAAAACATGTCTTACTAAGACGCGGCTGTCCAGCTTTTACCCGTCACGTACACGTAACTGTTAATCGGTTGCTGGTATCTCTTCTCGGGACTAAATGATTCAATTCCAAGGTCATTCGCTCCGCTTCTTTTAATGAGAAGGGTGTTTCTTGGGGGCTCTTGGGTCAGTGGTGAACTTTCTGTGATGTAGGAAATGTTCTATATCTGTGCTGCTCAATATGGTAGTCATTGGCCACAGTGGCTGTTGAGTACTTGAAATGTGGCTAGAGTGAGGAAGGAACTGAGTTTTTCATTTTAATTAACTTAAATTTAAATATCCACATGCAGTTGGTAATTACTGTACTGAACAACAGAGTGCTAGGTAGTTCCTAACAGTGTGGGTCTAGGAGTTGAGCATGACGACATAGTGGCTGGCATCTGATAGGGGCTGCAAAGAGTGGAAGGATCGTGGCAGGACGGGGAGGAGAGAGAATTCACTCCAAATGCTGAGTGGAGGTCTTTTACAGATGCTGATCACTGGTTCCTTGTTGAGATTTAATGAGTGTCCACTGGAGCTATGCTTGAGCTGGACTCGGAGTTTATAAAACTGTCTCCACCACCAGGGAGCTCACAGTCTAGTGAGAGGCTCAGAACAGTAGGCATCTGATTATCATATCTAAGTATTACAGATACATGTCTACCTAGGAGGTCAAGGCAAGGTACAGGGTATAACCTAACCCAGATGGGAAGAGAGGCCAGGAAAAGAAGTGGGGGATTACCAGAAGAAGTGATATTTGAGCTGAACCTTGAAGTTAAAGATCGGGGCTAGTCACAGGAGAAGGCGGGGGGGGGGCACACTGGGGGCAGTGAGCAGGGTATGCACAAAGGTATGAGGTGAGGCAGAGCTGGGATAGGTTAGGGTAGAAAGTGAGTGGCTGGAGGTGATGAAAATCAAATCGTGAATTCTCGCTTCCCATGCTAAGGACTTTGTACTTAATTTTAGAACATGGATACTCAGGTTTTAAGGTGTATAAGAATCTTTGGGGGACTACATATACTCAAAAGAGGATGAATCTTGTAAACCAAAAATGGAGGCACAGGACTCCAGTCACATTTCCATGATCTTTGGCAGGTTACTTATTATCTTTAGGCCTCTGTTCCTTACCTGGCTTATTCATGGCCAAGCAAAATCATCAGCCTGATACTCTATTAACCTCTTTTTGCAATTCTAGTATAAGGTTAGAAACCAGTACAAATAAGGAATGTACTTATTAAAACCATGTGAAAGCCACACAATAACAATAGTGTGGACTCTTCAAAGTATATTTGGGCTCTCTAAAGCATACTCTTTTTATTTAAATAATCTAACTTGCCTGAATGTACAGAGAAGTAAATTGAGGTCAGAAGATGAAGTGTCTTGTGCAAGATGGTGCACTTCTTAGTGTAGAGCTAGGCTATTTTAATATTTAGAAGTCATATGGAGCACCGTCACACTAGAAGAGAACGTAGTTTTAAATCATCATGTATCTTATTAAGAGATGAAAATTTGAAGCACACCCTTACCCCCAAAGAAAGTCCTCTTCCTCAAGTTACAGGGTTAGTGATGGAACGAAGACTAAAACAGGGCAACTTGACTGTGGTCTAGTATTTTTTCTACATTTCCCTGCCTTTTTCTATCCTATGCTTGATTTTTTTTTTTTTTTTTTGAGTCATGTGAAGGTCAGACTGTTATTAACTCTGTCCCGTAAATAATTTTTCACTGGGCAAGATATATATAAAGATGATGTAAGTCAGTCTGTATTTGCCCTATGGTTATATATACTGCCTGAGCAGGCCCTGAAATGCAGAGTGGAGAATATTAGAAATTTTTAATAGATGTCCACTTAGAATTATCACAGAGGAAAATGGTACCTTTTAGAAATTCCTGCTTTAGGGCCTCCAATTTAAATACAACCATGGTTTATTTATTTATTTATTTATTTTTGAGAGAGAGAGAGAGAGAATGAGAGATAGGGAGCACGAGAGGCAAGACGGTCAGAGGGAGAAGCAGACTCCCCGCTGAGCAGGGAGCCCGATGCGGGACTCGATCCCGGGACTCCAGGATCATGACCTGAGCCGAACGAAGGCAGTCGCTTAACCAACTGATCCACCCAAGCGCCCTATTTTTGCTTTTTTTTTTTTAAGCTTACTTTCACCTTCACACATTGAACCAGTGTCTCATAATCTTGCACAAAATATTAAGCAATCACAGTTATTCTGTAGCACAAGTAATTATTAAAATGAAGAAGCCCAATAAGGAAGTAATCATTGTATTTATATATTTATAAAGGTACAACTGGCTTCAGAGTTATAGAAACTCCTGAGTACAAGCTTTAAAACACTCTCCAAAAATAATAAATTATACTTAGCAAAGAATTCCCAGTTATGCCCACAACCTATTGTTGTGGCTGGGCCTGGACATCTGTATTTTTAAATGCTCTTCAGATGATTCTGATGCCCAGCTGGGTTTGAGAATCACTGATACAAGCAACTCTGCTGAACTAGTTCTGAGTCACTCAGTGGATATATCACCCCAAGCGTGAGGCCTGATACTCGCTTCATTTTTCCTATCTGCCTCCTATATGACAAGGACCTTATGTTAAATCTCCAGTTCTATTGTTAAATTGATATCTGCATTAATTAAACTAGAAAATAGGGTCTGGCCAGCTTATTTCCTATAAAATGTACCCAAAGGCTATGGTTGGTGGTGGTTCTAGTCGGTCTCCCTCCTCATTTCACACTGGGGGCTGTTAGCTATCCAGATCCTGGAGCTGTGGCCAGGAAAAGCCTGAGCTTTGTGCCTCAGTGAGCTCTTTATGTTGATTTAATGAGACAGGCAGCAATATTCAGGTGGGCTTCGGGGATACTAAAGCAGGCAGGCAGAATTTACATATTTATGAGACAAAACTGAACTTAAGCATGTGCGTGTGCACGAGCACACACACACACACACACACACACACACACAGAAATTATATCGCTGTGGTGTGTTCCTTTAAATGCTTTACGTGAACAATATTTCCCAAGGTTGCATTATTGATAAACACAAGAACTGCATCTGGAGGAAATCCTTTGAAATTAGATTCTAAATCCACATTAATGCCAAGTAAGTAATGAGTACCGAGAGGTACTGAATAGGAGGGCTGGGGGCAATGGAGAAAAAAAAAAAAAAACTAGTTGTTTTTCCTTTTTTTTTTTCCTAAGATGGGGCAAGCGTTTAATTCCTTGCTTTCCCTGTGTCAAGGTTTGTTTGAGCTGTGTGTGTGTGTGTGTGTGTGTGTGTGTGTGTGCGTGCGTGACACCCATGTGAGACAGACACAGAAAGAAATAAAACAGACAGTAACAGAAACCTAGGTCTTAAAATGTTACTGTTTTATAAATATACCACCATTTCTCAACCTTTGGTTTGAATTCACCAAAGGAGATGATGTCAAGCGCGCGTGCGCGCGCGCACACACACACGAAAGGGCTCTAATTATCGCAGAAACACAGGAACAGGAAGGACAAGAAGTCATGGGTTGTTTTCTTATTCTCCTCTCACCTTCAGGCAGATTATTAAAAAAAAAAAACAAAAACAAACAAAAAAACCCAACATAGCTAATTTAACTTCCCAGAGACAGTTGTAGATGTATTTATCAGAACAGATCTTCAAAAACCTGAAATGAAATTATGTCTTACCAAGGTGTAGAAGGTCTTTTGCTTTTGTCATTGAGAGAAACCAGTACTATTATTCAGATGAAGTAACCCCAGAGCAAAGGAGAAGCCAGCATAGCAGCCCCTGAAGGAGGTACAGGGGAGGAGCGCAAGCCTGGAAAGGGACAATGTTTCTGTTCCAGTACTAAAACCCTCCACAGGACTACAGTTTGGTGGGACCATTATGTCGCCAGACCCTCACTGGTTCTAAGAGGACAGAAGACTTGGGTCGGGAAGCTGTCTCCTTCCAAGGTTTCCAGCGAGGGGGGAGATTTTACTTATTTTATTGGACATAACTTCAATGAGCTATGAATGAAATGAAAGACATCACCATGATCTTCAACCAGGCTTCTTTGTTGATCAAGAGGACAGTCCTAGTTGGGCACATATATGTTGCTATGATGCAATACATATATTCATGTCTTTGAGACATGAAAGATGCACTATAATAAACACAGCGACTATTGCAACCAAGCTTGTATCTGTTTCCAAGTCACAAGAAACATTTTTAACACCGTGATAATGGAGGCAGATGCCAGTACAGGCAATTTCAGCAGAAATGCTTCTTGAAAGATGACCCATTACTTTTGACTAAGAAGTCAGGGTTCTATCCGAGTTACAGAACATGAGTCATCACTGTATACAATATTTTCAGCTCACACCACACAAGTTGGGGGAGCTAATATTAATGTGTGAAGTCTGCTAGAGGTTCAAAAAGTGAACTGTTGCTAAGGCTTTCTTAAAGTGGAACAGTTTTAATGGGTTAGTAACTACATAATTTTCCCCTCTCATTAAATACCACATACAAAGCCGTGAAAAACGTGACATGGATGATTTGGGATGTTGAGGTAGTTTTAAAGGAACCTGGGCAGAAGGCCCTGAACATGTTCACTTATTAGGAAGGTAAAAATCCCGAAAGCTGGACTCTCTCAGAAACAAAACCCAGAGATCAAGACCACAGACCGCACGGTTGTGTTCTGAAAAGCTACAAGTTGTGTTGTAATCTTTCTGTGGGCCAGAAAAGTTATTCAACCAAGGCTGATGATCTCTCACCACCCCAGGAGGAAGCGTGGCTTTTGTTGCTCATGATAGCTGTCACATACATCTTGTCAATAGCAAGTACAACCAAGCCCTCCTTTAAAATCAGCTTTATTGGACATACTAGGAGAATCACTGGAGGTAAATAGATTATGACAAATGGGGTCAAGAGTATTTCTACCGGAAAACATTTCTCTAATGCAAAACTACAGTGTTTTAAGAAGTATCTCTAAATGATGAAATAAAGATATTTGGATTCAATTTAGAGGGAGAATACCATTTTCCCTAGCACTGACGAAGAAGGGTCTATTACCCATAGGAAAGGAGAGTGGTTTGGAAAAGCTGTGTTTAGGGCCTCATTTTCGTGACTTACACTGCAATTCATATTCATCTGTGAACGGTTGAGCTGTTGTAGAATCTGGTAGCAATCAAGAGGAATAAGAATAGATTATCTGAAAGTCACTTAGTTTTTTCTTTAGGCAAATGTCAAACTCACTGGTATATAATAGACATCAGCATTATTCAAAGTGAGATCAAAATGGCTATGAGGGCTGACTTCCAAGGCAGTTGTGATAAACAGATCCTCACAGGCACACTGGTCGGCAGTGGGTTGCCCATATGAGCCTGGAGGCTGGAAATCCTCCAAGGCCACCCGTGTTTACTCCAGTTTACTCAGCCTTCAAAATCTGGCCAAGTTACTAAACATCTGACTTCAGTCGACACATTCAGCGGTAGTAATGACCTCAACTCATTATTTTTGGTTGCTGAATGTCAATTAATGAGTTTTATTTCGGAAATATGTTCTTATTAGGGGTGGCAAAAGCAGATTATCAAATAGCAATCATAGGATGACGTTTAACAACTCACATGGAAGTTCTTTCCTCTACAAAATGGCGCCCCTCTGAAAAAAGGCTCTTTTACGAGCAGCCAAATATTAAGTGTGCCTTTCAAAATGATCTGTGGGCCAGAAAAGTTATTCTTTGATGGGGAAGGTTCGAGAACATAGGTTGGCACTGTGTCTCCTTTACTGGCTTATGTTCAGGATTCAGGTCATTGTATCTCTTCTACTGGTAAACATGAGTTTTCCAGCTCAGTGTCTTAAAAGCTAGTTACGGAGGAAATGCTCTGCATAATGGACTTAATGATTGAGGACTGGAATAGCAGGGGTCTGGGATGAGGTGTGTCAGGAGAGCTATGCTATTTATATATGGGCAGAGCTTACACAGGCACTTCTGCATTATCCTTGCTGCTATTAATAAACTCACACCCTTCGTGAGTAGCTAATTTAAAATGAGTCTTACATGATTAAAAGTACCAAAAATGGAAAGGAACCTTGAACTATCTCTGCCCTAGTAGCCCTAATAATTAGTAGACTATGTATCCAGGATATAATATGACTGCCTGCTGATCGATAGGATTTATAATTGTTGTTCCCTAACTATAACCTTCAGTTGTTCAAGCGGTTTTCTCACTGCCTTCTGCACATCAAATGACTCTTGCTGTTCCTGTGGCTCATGCCATTCTCCTTTCTTGACATGGCAGCTCTTTCTCTTTTGCTCCTAAATGACATCCATGAAGGTTCACAAAGGGCTCTCAGAGATTGTTCTCCAATCTATTGCAATTGGGTCTCTGTTTTCTGAATTCTGACTAGACTTCTAAGTCAGTTGATAATTCAGCACACAGTGTTTTCTATATGTATTTATGTAACTCTTCTCGATTCTTTTTTTAAGATTTTTATTTGAGAGAGAGAGAGCGCAAGAGAGCACGCACATGAGCAGAGAGAGGGGCAGAGGGAGAGGGACTCTCCTCGCTGAGCGGGGAGCCCCATGCGGGACTCGATCCCAGGACCCCGGGATCATGACCTGAGCTGAAGGCAGACGCTTAACCGACTGAGCCACCCAGTCGCCCCGACTCTTCTCTATTCTTGAGTGCCAAGTACCTCATGTCCTCGGGCGTCAGCACACTATTGGACATACGATAACACAACTCTTGCTTCGGGATAGGTATCCCCAGCAAGTCAGTGGTGTGGCTTCCTCTTGCAGACCCTCAGCTATAGAATTCTCTATTGATACTGATCTTTAGGAAACCCCATGCTTTCATGATACCAAAAGAAGAATTCTAGAGAAAAGGCTGACCTGAAATGCCCAAGGGGTATTGTCCACACAGTAGACTCTCAAGTTGTAATCCAGAGAGTTACAGGACATACAGCCAAAAACCGCCACCTTGAGCTGTTTCACGGCACAATCTGTGATTGGTTCTCCAGTGAGGGCATATGTCCCGAAGCTGTCGAGGAGCACGTGACATGCAAAGGGGTCCAAAAGGCAGTAACAGGATGTGGATTCATCCTCCACCGACATCACTTCCTGTGGGGAAACGGTGTATGAAATTGTCTCAGCTTGGAAATAAGATATGATTTAACAATGACTTTGCATGCACAGACACAGTTTTTTCAGAGTATTTTTATTGTCCTCATTTCCTTGATGTTAAATGCGCTTTTTCTAGCAAATAACTGCTTACATCAGGAACTCAAGAAATAGTTCTATTCAGTGTGTTGGAATTCTATAGGTTACAACAAAACTCATTTCCAAAGTTCTCCTTTTTTTCAGTTAATTTGTGCAGTGCTGAATTTAAGAAAAACCTTCAATATTAACACCCGACAAGCAAACTCTGTCTTGAAAAAGGTCTATTTCTGAAAATCTCTTTCAATATCCTTAAGGTAATATTTATTTTCCTTCAAATATCTTATCCTCTTTCCACCAAATTCATTCATGAGGGACCGTTAAATAAATGGTTTTGATAAGATGTACGAGAATATTTCACCTTCCCTGATAAGAACTTTGGTTTGTGTGACTGGGTGGGTAGAGGATAAATATAACACCATCTGGATGAAAAGCTTGTGAGGAAGCGCTCAACAGAAAAACTAAAGTGGTAAAAATCAAGGCAAAGCAAACCATAATGGAAAAGAGAGCAAAAGCCTGCCCCTTTATGAACCCATGGAACTTTATGCCCGTGAAATGTGCCACTGGTTGTACCAGGACTGAATAAACAGCAGAATGCATTCGCAACAAAGAGTCCAGGCTAGTTGCTGAGAGAGCTGGGCAGGGTAAATGTGATCCGTTATAGCAAATGGGAATTTTCTTCTCCTAAAGAAACAAGATCTTCCTTTTATTCCTTTTGCCTGAAGCACCTCCTGGGAGGGACGACCCCAGGGCTAGCTGGAACAGGTCATTGTGTTCCAGCAAGATAATTCAACTGCTTTCATGCAAACTGACTTTAGACGGACATAAAAGGAATCCCTATCAGATAAATCAGAGGTTTCACTCAAAATAGTAATAACAGTGCAATCGTTGCTGTGTCTGTCTCTCTTGTTGTTACCTTCCTCATACACTTCCTCATTTTCTTGTCTCTCTTCTGCTCTCCCTTGGACTGTATCACTTTCATATATACTCCTACACACGGGGCAACCTACGCTCAATTAATTGTCAATGTATTCAGTAATTCACCAGAACATATTTAGCAACTACTGTGTTGCTGAACATTTCAAACATGTTCTAATCCCTATGATTCGAAGTTTCTTTTATGAACACAGCCTGTATGCCCTGAGCTTCCTCCCGAGGCTGCAGGGAAAGTCAATTCAGACAGGGACATGCTCTGGGAGGAAGGACAGAAGTTTTATGTACCAGGAATGGGCACATAATGGTACGTGTCTGTGTGGGTAATTAAAACTATATTCTAAAAGCAAGGACAGAAGCTCTGGATCCTCTCTTGCTTCTCTTTTCCATTGTTATGGAAAAACACTAGCCAATACCTTGAGGATATTGTAAAGCACATGCCACCAACCCTCTGAAAAAAAAAACAAGAAAATGCTTACAGATTTCACAGCAAACACGTGTTAAAAGACGGTAAGGTTAAATCTATCCAACGGGTGGAAGCCAAATCCTATTTTTTCAAAAGGAAGACTAGGGTCTCACCTCCCACTTGCCCTGCTGCGTCCGCTTCTTTAAATGGATGTTCCAGTGCTCAGAACTGACGTCCGCGCAGTGTGGTATGGTCAATGCAAAGGGAGTGGTGACGATCATGTCTGGAGGGCCACAGGTGACTTCAGGACTCAGGAGCACCTCGGATCCATCGGACTGGAGGCTTTACAGTTGGGAGAGGATACAAGAAGCGTGTAAAGAAGGGGGCGCATTTGAATGAGAATTTAGTTATAGACTGGGGCTTTCTTGAGGCTGAGGAAAACGGTTTCCCAGGATTCCCTCCTGGATGGCACCACACATGCCCAGGGCTGGTCTGGGCAACAGCCATTTATCCTGAACGGCTCAAGCACGCGGACTGAGTTTAGCTTAGATTTCAAATCTAGGTTTTGACAAAATGACAGGTGCTTTTTCAGAAATACAGGGCAGAACAGAAGAGAGCAAAGACCTGCCTGGTGTGTCACACAGCGGCTGATGAATCCTTATTCTTGTTGATAACATTATCAATGACCAAAGCCGAGAGCTTTGTAGGAACAACTGATTTGGTAATCTTCCCATCAGATTCCTTCCTCCCAACAACACGTTCTACAAATATTTTTAATGCTAATAAGTGATAAAACAAATTATTATGAACAAATCAACCTTCAGACATACCCAGATTGAGTAGTCACTGCTGGTTTTGAAAACGTTTGTTTTCTGCCAATGCACAAATACCTAGGTTATATAGTGATAGCATAGTAGACAGTTACAAATGTGTATAATCAAATACATCAACTCTTCACTATTTTAGTTCTAAATTTAAAGTCATTCCACCCAAACCTAGTGTGGAGACTTTTCTGTATTGTGAATTATTCACAATGGGAATACAGAGTCATGAAAGGATAAAAGGAGGTGAAATTTAACTAAAGGGAAATGATATCATTGAATGTTTCAATTTCTTGTCTTTTGGTTTTAATCTCTGTCCCCAAATGGTAAGGTGGGCTGGCTTACAGGCCAGCAGTGAGTGAGAAGAACCCAGAAGTCTGTTCGTTCTTCCCCAACTGCTTCTGTGTTTTTGAACAAGCTATCTGATTTTTGGGGGACCTGTATTTTCACTTGTAAAAATACAGTGATACAGAATATAGTCCATAAAGCCATTTAGGACTCTCAGATGAACAGTGCTACATGAGCACTGGGATTGGTATTAATACAGAAGTTTTCTCTTACCCGACCTAGGAAGGGCATTTACTTTTTTTTTTTTATAAGATTTTTTTTTTTTTTTTTTTATTGAGAGAGAGAGAATGCTAGAGAGCATGAGAGGGAAGAAGGTCAGAGGGAGAAGCAGACTCCCTGCTGAGCAGGGAGCCCGATGCGGGACTCGATCCAGGGACTTCAGGATCATGACCTGAGCCGAAGGCAGTCGCTTAACCAACTGAGCCACCCAGGCGCCCTAGGAAGGACATTTAAATATGTCATCCCTCGTCAAAAAAGCCACCCCTTGAGCAAGATAAAGATGAAATTTATCACCAAAAGATGCCACCTTTCCATGGTCTTGTATAAACACAGTTTTCCTATGAGTACATGTTTCTTAGCTGCTTTTGTTGACATTGCTTGTTAGGAATGGTCCTACTCTAGCTCATGACCTGTAGTTTGCTGCTGCATTACAAGTCCAGACACAGAAGGGGGCAGGGGCATCGTCTCTCTACTCTATCTAAAACAGACCTGAACGTGAATGCAGTATCCTCCCCCCTTTCAGGAAGCCCCGAAGATGGATTCGCAAACTTCAATCATACACAGAGGCAACCACTGTCCAAAGTCGACAATTCTTCCCATACAACCAGGGTGCAGGGGGAACTTAAAATATGTCTACATCTCCCTTTAAGCAAAGCAGGCCGGCGAGGCGGGCAGGGTTGGAAAGTAGTGTATGAGCAATAACAAATGCTCGCTGAACAGCCTGGATACAATAACATACTTGAAGTTTGCCGGGGGGGGGGGGGAGGGTAAAATCCCATTGTGAGCTCTAAGCAGCGTGGGGTGGCAGCTTGTCTGTGGATGCCTGCCAGTGACCATTAGCGAAGGTTAAGCGCTTTCCGTATAATTGCTGCTTGCCTTCATCACAGACAGGAATAGCAGGGATGCTTATGAGTGACCGATGACAAGCTCTCCTAAAAGAACTATTTAATTGCTTTCAGAGAATCATCCCCCTTGTTGAACATATTGTTTAAACATATGGGAATTTGGGGAATTATTTAATGCCAAATGAACTGAAATCAGCTAATTAGATGAACTCTCACACTCATGAATAGCAACGCTCCTTCCCGTAATAACTTAAATAGCATTAGGAAGCAGAGGCGGAGCACATTGAGTCTCAGGCAGAGCTGGGAACGGGAGCTTTGCATTAAGCAGAGACTGGGCATTTCCACCAGTGCAAAGGAAGTAAATCAAGATTTATATCTAATCCTCCTACTGTGAAAACAGTGTCTGTGGGTGTAGGTCTCTGGTGAAGGAACAAAACTTAAATCTAACCATTTTTCCCCCCATGATTAATAATAATTTGTCCCTCTCTGCCATCTTCTATCTATGGCAATCAGGGAGATTTACAAATATTAATTAAAGCTCTTCACACACCTGTGGAGGCAGGTGTTAACAGCATAAGGTCACAGAGCAGTCCGTCAAAGCGATGAGCCGCAAAATGCACTCTAAATTTCTGACTCATACACAGGTTCCTACTCTCTGTGATAGGATGTACTTTCCTTCTCTGTAACCACTAGCAGATTTCTGGTCAGGCTGCTGGCTCTCGTGACATCCCAAGTAAAGACAGGGGGGAAATGCAGTCCAAGTGTCGTCATGGATACAGACTTAGGAAACTGGAGGACGGAGGTCTGGGGAGAGAAGGCTTTAATTGGGCCTGGGCAAAAGTGAAGATTCCTGAGGACAGTATGGATAGCATTTCAGTTTTCCCAGAGTACATGTGATAAGGAAGTACTCACGCTCTTGCTAGGAGAAAAAAACAAACAAAAAACCCCAAAACCCCACATTTTTCTAAAATTGCTGTGAGCTAATGATAACTGTGAACTAATAACAGCAGTGATTGCAGGGCCTACCCTAGGAACCAGCTCCGGGCATCACGCACTCTAATGTAGATGGAAAAATCTGGGTGTGTTCGACTTTTGCTACTTGTCTTTTTCCTTGTGTTTGATCCATCCATCCATCCATCCACCATATGCTGTGCATATTTATGAACACTTATGGATATAAAAAGATCAATAATTTAAGAGCCAGTTCTGTGCAGCCAGATGGTTTGTGGGGCAACTGTATGGTAACCAGGTTGTGAATTCAAATTTCTGCTTACACAGTGCGGCTGAGGGTTCTAGGGAAAACTCTGGCCAGCTTTGCAGAGAACCACGGAATATCCGTGGGGGGAGAGGGTGCTCGTAACAGTCACAGGAACATGTTGCCTAGTAATCTGGTCAGACACGGAGACTCGTGTTGCTGCTTTGTTTAGAACCAGAAAGGGAAAACGTGGGAAGAGTAGCTGCAGAGGACACAAGAAGTGGGTAGAAGAACATCCTTTTATGTCCCACTTGTGTCCTCACTGAACTCTTCACAGCACTGCCCTTGATACCACATCCCTCGGCTGACCTTTTCAGTCGTGAAAACCACAGGGTGGCAGAAGGGAGAGCCCAGGCCTTTCTGAGCCTCACTTCCCTTACATGCAAAATAATGTCCACTCTAAGACTGCTGTGAGAATTAAAAACAAAACAAAACACAAAAAACACCTAATATGTGCTCAGTGGGTGGAGGTTCTGCTTCTCCCAATCCTGAATGCCCATCTTTCCTGCCTTTTGAAGAGCCTTATTTTTATAAGAACTGTGCTTTTTGAGATTGCTAATTGATTCAGTAAATTGCCATTCTAGCAAGATATGCTTCAACAAACATTTCACGGCCTTAGGGATGTGCACTATTTAAGGGAATTTAAAGCACCTTGGCAATGCTTCATCCTTACCTCCCACAGTCTGTCCTCAACTCGGCAACCAGCGGAATCCCACCGAAAATGCCAATGTGTTCCCACCTTCAGGAATCCCGGCTGTTCTGCTCTGGAGCGCTCTGTGCTGCCTGGAAGTTTTCGTCCCATCAGCCACATGACGGGCTCCCTCATGCCCTTCAGGTTTGTGCTCAAATGACGCCTACTAGGGACGCATTCCCTGACCATTCCCGACACCAAAGCTGATCGTTGCTTTTCTTTTTTCTCTACTACACTTAACTGTAGTTAATACACTATATATGTTAATACACTATAGCATTTACATATTTGTTTCCTTTTGTCTCCCACAAAAGAGAATGTAAGCTCTATGAGGCCAGGGAATTTTTTTTTTTCCCCGTCATCATTGTATCCACAATGTCTACTAGATACCGGGTGGAAGCACTCAGAGACAGAGGAGTCAGCTTGAAATAGTTCCTACTGGTCAAAAACTGGAACATTTTGAGTATCAAAGTAAATAATGGTAGTATAGGATTATAACCCATTGAATAACATAATTCATGAGACATATGGATATAAATATGAATGAATAATGGTAAGGGAGAACTCTCCTATGCAGCAGGAAGCCAACTAATAAATGCAGAAAATCATTTGGCAACCAACCATACTAATATTGACTCAGTCAAGAATTATGAATAGACGCTAATCTATTTGGTGGAAGTTTAGAAAATAAGAACTATTTATAGGGTTTGAAAGTATCTCCCCACAAAATACTAATTACAAAGGGTAAAATACTACTTTACCTTGGAGAACCTTGGCAGACATCACCTAACCAAGTTATCAAAGTTAACACTGGCAGTGTTAACATTTTACTAATCCACGGGATGGATGGACAGAACATGCCTCCTGATAGGACACAGTGAGAAGAACTTGGCATATGTCTGTAATATTCCTGCCAATAATATATAACCTGAATCTAATCACAGGAAACTATCAGACAAGCCCAAATTGAGGGACGTGGTGCAAAAGAACTGATCCACACTCTTATAAAGGGTCAATGTCATAAAATAGAGACAGATGTAGGAACTGCTCCAAATTACAGGAGACTAAAGACACATGGCAATAGAATGTAATGAATGGACTTGGATTTTCATTTGCTACAAAGGATGTTATTCGGATAACAGGCAAAATATGAATAAAGTTTG